GACATGGATAACAAGGTCCTGTAAAATCACACGGAGCACAGCAAATTAGTATAAGACCGTATAGTAAAGTAATCATGATTGTAATTTGGCAATAAAAACAGAAAAATAATAAGTAATGATGATAAATAATGTACTGGTCTATTTTTCCATAACATTTCTGTGAGATCTCTACAAGTGTCGTAGGCAACCTGTACATCTGTAATCGTGTTCAGTTCCAAGTCGCTTCCCGATAATTCACTTCTAGACTCCCATATTTCCTTTAATTTCTTGACGGCCTGGCTACTCGGGTTGACCTTATGATCACCGAAGGGGCCGAAGGAAGTGACAAATACGCGCATAGAGGAGGGCAATTGAATCAACACCTATTTTCAAAGATATTATAAAGCACCTAGTCGACAATTTTTAAAAGCATGGATAGTTTGATAATAATTGGCTTTTATGAGCAAATATAGTGACAATAAAAAATAATATTCTCATATAAAGCCGATAATTTAATTTGTATTATATTTAAATAGCGTCACATTAGTTAAGCTTATTTCCAAAATCTTATATAAGTATACTATGGTAAATTATTACAATTATAAATAGCTTATTAAGGAAAATCGTATTGCTAAAGAGTAGGAATTTCCATTACCTAGCGTTTGGCAACCATAACCCTGAAGATATTTACGATAAATTTATGAACGCCCTACTAGATGAGAGTATTAAATGTACTTGTACAATTATCACCAAGTAAACACAGCACTTGAAAAGCATATATGCAAACCATTTATCAAATAATTTGAATAAAGATCTTCGACAATTTATGAAACAACCCATTTTATCGACATAGGATAATTGAATCAGTGAATTTATTATAGAGGTACCATATTACTGGTAGGCCTGAAAATTCCTTTATGCTGGCGTTAAATTCTTGCGGGAATATATATAGGCCAATATCCGGGCTGAATTTGCATCTAATTATTTATATTCAGATTGCGAAGTATCAAGTGAATAGCATTTGCTGCCGAGCCTGTGTTTGAGATTTACTTCATTCATATTCGCTATTAATTTAACAAGGAAGGTATTACCGAAAAATAAATATGATCCTATGGAATTATCTCGACCTTGCCTAAGTTAGAACATGCCGTAGTGATAGGGATATAATAAAAGTGCTAAAAATCATATTTTTGATAAGTAACAAAAAGTTAATTATCTAGGATACAGTGAGTAAAGAAAGTCTTGATGCCAACACAATTTTGATTTGTTCAATATTAAATATTAGCATAAAATGCATTAAAATGGGCATTTTTTTACAAATCTGTTAAGAAATAGCAGGCTTAAATACATGAAACATTTAAGGCTCGCAGGTTTTCCCTTCAATACTTCCTACATTTTACAACTTTACTAAGTCACAGACAGCTGATTCTAATCTAATATAAAACCAAAATTAATATTAATTAAGGAAAAAAGAATTACAGGAACATTTAAAATGATTCTTGATGTATTTCAGGCGACACTAAGTGCATTTTAAAATAAAATCTTAATTCCAAAGAAAGGATCATCATTTTGCAAGGAAGAATACCACAGCCCTGTGGCATGACTCCAGTATTCATCTTTACCAACGGCTTAGACATTACTAGTGCAATCGAAGGTATAAAGACCAAGATGGTGTGGCCTTTTGTGTGGTCGCAGTCTCCTTTCGTTGAATAGAA